AACTAAAGGCCAAACCTATTCGTCCATTAGGTTGTGGTGTTCAGACGAACTTCACCAATGGTACTCTACATCGTCTCAGAGTCGGCAAAATTTTAAAAGGTAAACGTCCATATCCTAACTATAGATTCCGTTGCGTTAGGATTTATTTCGATAAAGTTCAATGCCGTGCATGTTGTTTGACGTTCCTAACAGAACCCAACATGTCGTGTGTTTGAAACAGATCTACTACCTTGCTTATATGCATCTACGGCCATTCGGTAATGTTTACCAAACAACATTATCGTTTTTTTCTTTAAAAAATAAATTGTTATATTCTAATATGACGTACATTTACGATATGTAACAGGGAAGCCGAGTTAGATATAATGGATTTCGTTAATAACCATTACAAAACTTACTCAGTTGCAAGGATGTACCAAAGCACCGTTAATCTCGTCCCGCATCCAGATGAATGGCACTTGCCCTTGGAAATTATGCGTAAAAAGATAATTCCGCCAAATGATCCCAAACAAGTAGGTTGGCCACATACTCAACGTTATTCCGCTGGAGAAGGATCATCACGTCGAGTACGGCGTCAGCAGATGTGCTCACGGTATGGGGTCACCGGGCATAACAGGGCGAAGTGCCCTCTATACGATGGTGATAATGACTTTTTTTTCAAATGAAAAAGGTCAAAACGCACCAACTCCTCATCCAAGAACAACATCGAGACGCCCGAGGAGATGTCGTACATGTAAAGAAACAAGTCACAAATTGTCATCTTGTCCATCACGTCCAATCCATGACAATTATGATAAAGATGGAGACGTTATGTAATGTTATGTACCTCATTGGAGTTTTTAATTGTAAACCAATTTAACGGAAACAATACTTTTAATGGGAAAAATACTGTGTTGGTGCCCTAAGTTATGACCTGCACACGATTGACTAACAGAAATTAGTCAAACTGGGTTGATTGCGCAATTCACATAACATGTCCCATAATAATCGCACAAATGAGTTGATTGTGCAACTCTCATATCATATCCCATAATAATCGCACAACTGGGTTGATTCGCCTAGTCTTCAACCGCGTAATTAACGAATCGTATATCCAAATCGAAAGCCGCATAATTTACGACTATCCATCATTTTTTTCGCATATCCATATGGACCGCATTGATTGACTGTCTGCACCGCATATCCAAATCGAAAGTTCTTCGCATATTATTCGCATATTTTACGCACCACATTGATTGATTGTCTGCACCGCTTATCCAAATCGAAAGTTCTTAGCATATTTTTCGCATAAGTTACGCACCGCATTGATTGATTGTCAGCTTTTACACGTAAAAAACTATGACGATTTGCATGCTTCCTCATTTAGTTGTCGAGTTGATATATACATCAACCTAGCCTTAAATGCTATCTGTATTTATTAACCTTTCATTCTCTTTGTTGAACAGGCGACCTTTCACTTCTCAAAACCCTATCTTTCCATCGCAGCCAAAAAAAGTGGAAAGGATTTCACCTTATGAAAAAGATCGCGATCCGCTTCCGTGGCAAATATTTTTCAAAAAGTGTCGTCAGAAGGCCAACATATGTTGGACTGACTGCAGCAATAATAAATATTTTTTTCTTCTGTCAAGTATGTGTTTAATCATGATTCATATGTCAAAACAAAACAATATGTTGCATGGACAATGAAACCATTAATGTCCGTCAACAGAGTTTTCCCAGCAAAATCAGCGATAATATTCGAAGGGAAATTATTATTGAAAGGAATTTCGCAGAACTGTGAACAAAGTGCGATAATTCGCATTGTGTTCGCATAACGTAATGAAAAAAATAAAAATAATATATATTTTTTAATCGCATATCCAGGTCAGATCAATGAAACGCATTCTTTAGGAGTATGCGGCATATGTTCGCATAATTTAAGATTAGCATATCCAAATCTATAAGGCTAGAGAACTATCGATTATGCGAATTGTTTTTGCATATTTACGAATCGCATATCCATATAAACCTCGCATAAATGTATCAATATGCGAACACATTTCGAAAAGTGTTACGCACCTCTTTTTGTACCTAATACTAGTAGTTTTTATCAATTTATTATTAATTTAGTCAAAGAACAAGAATTTTCCAAAATGTACCAACTCTTCAAAAAATATGCGACGTTTGTATGTCGCAATTTTGTACGTCGCATAATAGAAAATTTACAAAAACAAATATAAAAAAATATATGTTATTCGTTATAGTACGAGTGTTATGCGGTTTTTATGCTGAAATGTTTCGATTAATAGCCGCAGGTTCTTTCAACTAATAGTAGTCTTCTTCAATTTATTATTAAATCACAGACGGAACTTTAAAAAAAATTATAAAATTATTTATGCGCCAATTCTGCGAATAATATGCGATGTATATATGTCGCAATTTTGCATCGACTCAACTACTTTACATCGACTATTTTTTTACAGGCGAATAATATGTGGCGCATGTACGTCGCAATATTACATGGACTTAACTACTTTACATCGACTGAAATAGTTTACAAGTAACCTTACAACGGCACAAACGAATTACTAGATAGAGGAGGCTACAAAAGCGAGTTCAACAGCAGCTTGAAAGATCAGAAGCAATTGGATGACTGTGCCGAAGTTGGAGAAAAATGGGGAGCTAAACAAGTTGGACTGCGAGTTGAATGAATTCGCCATCCCTTGTTTAACTTTCGATAAACATTTGAAAGTCTCAATCTAGCATACCCTGGAAGAACAAGCACCTATGTCTTTGAAGGCATTCTCCCTTTCGCCGTCGTAGGCGCTTCAATATAGTAAATTCCGGAAGACCAAGCAATTCGACGGAGATTCCACGTCTACCCAAACACATGGTCACCTACAGCTTTTTCATCCTCCGATGTTTTTAGCTTCCAATGTGAGGCGACCATGTGCCTGGGCAGACGTGGGATCTCTAGGGAGAGTGCTTGGACTCCCGAGGTATACTATATTGAGGAGGCTACGACATAGAAAGAGATCACGCCCTCAAAGACAACACGAGGATCAGGACCCATCTCTCAATTCTTCAACCTTCGATTTTTCTCAACAAGTCCGAACAATGAAGAGACTTCATTGACCGACATGTTGAGAAAAATTGAGAGTTGAAGAATGTTGAGAAAATGGTCCTGGTCCTAATTTAATTGCCTCATCTCAGCTACCTTTTATAGAAGACTCAAGAAGATATCTATCCTCCTTGATACGCGCGCCGTTATTAATTTGTCGAAGACAGAGAGGACGTTTCGGAGCGACTCTTCAAATTCGCAGCACTGCGAACAAAATGCGATGAATCGCACTTCATTCGCATAACCTGCGACAATTAGTGGAAACAATTTCGCATACAAACTGCACAACATTCGTAGTATAATCGAAGAATTTATTTAAACAAAAATTGTTTTTGGAAATTTTGTATTCTGCGACACACATAATTGCGACATACGTTGCATAGTTCATTCGCAGGTCAATCGCAGGATATTCACAGACCCCCTTTTTGTGTAAAACAATTATTAAATATTTTGTCATAGAAGTGGTCTGATAAATGTGATTCTTTGTGCGACCGTCTCATGACGGATATGCGTGTATTCGCAAGTCTACCGCAGGGTATTAAACTACGAAAGAGATATGGAAACTAAACCATTATATTTATTTGTTTATTAAAAATGCATCGGAATTGCGAAAGTATGGCGCTTGTTACGCGAATATTACTCGACTGCTATTTTTTCGCATATTTTTTCGTATAGTTTATTATTTAAAACATAAAACAAAAAAAAAGCGAAACATACGCTACTTTTCTCCAGAGAAGAAAACAAAAAAGAAAGAGGGGCGAAACGTTTGGGATTCCATCTTGCGACATTAATTCGCATAGTTAGAAGTAAAATAACTATTAGAAATTAAAAGAAAAAAAGAACCAAAAATGATGAACGTGAACAACGCCATGACCTTCTTTGGAGACAGTGAAGATTTCACGAATCAGGCTTTTCACATGGCGGGCGGCCAAGCGGGTGCCCTAACGGCTTTTGCGGTCGGCGACTCAAAAGCTGCCGTAACGGACATGGCGGGCGACGACTTAGCGACTGAAGGCACGGGTCCGGAGGCCATCTCTTCTGGAGAGGTAACTTCCATTTGTTGCAGTTATTTAATTTAAGTTATTTAATTTCATCTGCTTTAATAGTTAAGAAATAGTTGTTTCTATTTGATAATGTATAAGTAATTTGATTTGAATAATTAACAATAACAACAACAATGTGATTTGTTTAGAATTTGTGGTCGTACAAGAGACCGGAACTGATCGGTAAATATCAAGGGTTGAAAATCAACGTTTACAGCCAATAGTATATATGTTCTGATATCAAGAATGAGTTGGGTCTGGTTGAAGGGGCCTTGTCTGCTTTTCAGGGCTCGGTCTTTGGTCCGTTCATCCAGTTTGACGATAATGTTAATGTCTCTGCAAAGGCAATGCATGGGGTTCTTTCACGCGAGGTGACTCGTGTCGATCAGAACCCGAACGAGATGTGGTTCCGTATTGGTAACCATTTTACACGATTCTTCGCCCATGAGTATGTTGTGGTGACCGGGCTTGCTTTTGGATCGTCTGCGTTTGACCCGAATTCAGCGTCTCCTCCTCCTCCATCGTCAATTTTCAATGAGAAATATAAAGGCAAGCGAATCACTATGCAGTATTTGCGTGATGACTTCAATGCGGTGCAGTTTCGTCACTCTCGGGATGTGATAGTGAGAGTGGCTAAGATGCTAATGTTGATGTTCTTCATCATTCCTCATGACGACAGGAAGTCTCGGTATATTGATACATGCTGGTGGACTTTGCTTGAGGAACACCAGATGTGGGAGAAATTCCCATTGGAGAGTTACCCCTTTCAGTACCTGTTCGACTACTTGAAGACGACCAAGTACAATAAAATGAAATATCATATCTACGGATTTCACTGGGCGTTTCTAGTATGGTGTTACGAGGCAATCCATCAATTAGGTAGTACATGTGGAACATGTACCTCGGTGAGACGTCCACCACGACTGGTTCACTGGGAACTGAAGAAGGTCACACTTCCAAATACATTTTTTTTTACCAACAGTTATTATTTGATCCTAAATAATTTTTATTATTATTGGAATCGTTAGCAAGTAATATCCGAAATTCATTTTTAAGTCTTAACAATTTCTGATGATTTCTTTATTTTTATGTTATATTTTTTTTAATTTAGTTGGAAGTGAATGGGACGCTGCGCTGAATGAGGATGAGATTGGCGTGTTGGACCTCTCGAATTTGAATGTTCAGAGGCCTCGATTTTTGCGACGGGCTAACCCGGCCAGTCGTCGTATGCAAGACTCGGCACTGCCATCCACGTCGGCTCTGCAATCTCAAATTGCGGCCGACACTGTGCACCGGGAGGAGGCGAGGCCAACAGATGGGTTGGCCTTTATTGAGGATATTCACGCG